TCGAAATCTGATCTTGCTGGATGATTTTTCGTTATAATCGAATACTGATCCCTCCAACCGACTCTTCTTCACAAGAGCTTCGTAACATGACAATATGTCATGTTAAGGAGATTGTTGTACCATTTAATCCTTCCTGGACTCTGACAGACCTAATCGAAAATCACTTCATTAAAACGACACCCTGAGCTCAAAGTGCATTGATAAATGAAATTTTGCCCAGTAATATCTTCATAAACACGTCTATTTTGTTCGTGTTTGTTCTAGAAAGTTTTGATTCTCAATCTTATTCTCTATGAATCGACAAAAAATTTAAGCAAGAACTCGCTTTGCGTGCTGTAAACATCATTATCTGAAATGCCGTTCAATTCGGTACATCCATGGTTGAAATAATATGTATTAATTCAACCACGGGTACATCCATCTCGACTAATCGGTAGTTATTCTACTCGTGCAACGCTCTAATGTGTAAAGTACACATTAAAAGATCTCGCTAACATAAAATTTATTTACTAATTCATTTAAATGATCAGCGAAATGAAGCACTCAGTGCGCTCCGTATTACACTTTGGAGTAACTCTTTGCGTTTAAATTTGCAATGAGAATGTAATATAGTATTTACGGGACCACCGGAAATCGCTTTCGGGGTTAGGCACGGAAACTACACTCGGGGATTCTACCGCACTAGGTAAAAACCCGATTTGATATGACTTCTTGACATTTTTGTACGCCAATGACCTGATGACTTTCACGAATGCGGACGAACTGAGTACTTGGCTATTGATGTAGCTCATGTCCATCTTTGGTATGATCGTCCTTTAACTGCTACTACGACGTGCACTTCACAGAAAGTCTACATAATTGCCTTGCAATTAAAGAAGGAATGAGTTAAAATTAATTAGTTTTTAACTAAATAAAACAAGGAAATAGACGTTACTACCGTAAGTTATCGGGTAGCAGAGCGTGCCATGTGCTCGCTCAAGCCTATTGCAGTTACTTTTGTAACTCTGCTAAATTAGTACATTTATTGAGAGATCAAATTCAAGTTTAAAAAATGTAACTCAGTACTCACTGCAGTGAGTGACAGAGAGCGCATTTTCTCGTCGACGAAAACGTGAAGCCACGGACGGACGGACAGACAGACTGACAGACAGACGGACGGACATGTCGAGTACAATAGGGCATTTTTTCCATAAATGGGAAAATGCGCTAAAAAGACTCCTTTGTCCCACATATTTTGCTCACTTGTACGTTGAAAACTATGTCGTAAGTCTAGAAACGGCATATAATTTACATAATAATGACACAGTTTTCGGGTAGAATAAATATTTTAGTTTGCCGTGCAAATTATTTCTTTCATTTGATGTCTACTTAAGAATCAAGGTCCGTAGAGCACACTTTGTATATCGCACTTTATATATCACACTAGGATCGCCTATGAGGTTTCTTCACTATGTCTGCATCTGAATTGCTCCTTGCCTAAATAAGATAGATGTTTGAATTTTGAATGCTATTCTGGCTATATTTTTCAAATCACGGTTATCAAGATAAATTTTGTAAACTTTGTTTTACAGCTTTTATCAGGTAGGAATTTTTTGCACCCCAATGTTCATGAAGCGTTCAACTTTTAAATTATATTTTTCGCGACGTGTGTGATTTTTACCATGTATCCTCTGCTGATCGGTGTGCCATGTATTTCTGGATCAGACTTCCACTGTTAGATAAAAGAACTTGTTTTTCAATCGGGCAGTTGAAATTCCGTAGATTTGTCCAGGCTGCATTGTTGTACGTTGCAAGAGGAAGGAGTCACCTGATGCCAATTATTAATCACTTCGCCCTTCAAGAGGCAAGTCCCTTATCCTCTACATTTTAAGCGCATTTTCTCATTTATGGAAAAAATGCACTATTATGCTCGCCATGTCCGTCCGTCTGTCCGTCCGTGACCTCACGTTTTCGTCGACGAGAAAATGCGCTCTCTGTCACTCACTGCAGTGAGTACTGAGTTATATTTTTCTTATCTCTCCTCTCCCGTTGTCAAGCGTTTTATAGGGGCTGCTAATTTTAAATTACCCAGACTTTTAAATTATAGTCTTTGTTGTTAGTTTAGGCTATATACGAAGGCTATATAGTTTAGTTTAGGCTATATTTATACTTCGTTAGCCTATATATAGTTTTATATAGCTCGAGTAGTAGTTAGCTCGAGTGAGAATGTTTTATATTTGGTCAGATATCAGTGATGAAATTAGGCAATATTCAGACTCAGACAGGACATGTTTGTACCTGTATCGTCAATAATATAATAATATGGAAATATAATTAAGCTGGTAAATAAGCGTCATGCGTTAGGGTGATAACGAAGAGGTAAGAGTAATCATGTTATAAAATATGAAGGATATAAAATCATAAACAACACAGTTCATTTTGAAATTCTCATTTGCTCCTACTTGAACTATTATTTAATGCAAATCATTTAATTAAATGAATTAGGATGTAGCATATTAAATTTCAAACGTGCATTACTTTATGTAATCATTGGAGCATTCATGTCGAAGTGGAAATTTTCAATGTCAAAATTCCTTAGGTACGGTTAAGAATTTTTTCTAATTTCATGCCATTCAATTCCTATAAGAAATTTCGAAGAGACAATAGGTACCCCTTTATAATAATAATAAAGCAATCTTTGGATGTTTTTTGTGCCAATCTTTGGTGGAGCAAAAGCAATTTGCAGTGACAATGTAATAAGGCGATGCCACTTGTATATCAATTGTGTACAGTACCGTACACAACGAAGCCATGCGTGAGAGCAAAGGCATCTCTCAGTACCGGTGGTGGAGGAACGATTTCCAGCTTAGAGACTAGGAAAACAGAAGACAATTGATGAAATGGGAGGAGTAGAGGGAATTGGGGTGAGCCCCATGGGGGTGAATGAAGGGGACTGATTCCTCAATACTCTTGTTTTATTTACCCCTTCCCCCCTTCCTCTTTAGTTAGGGAGAAGCATGATCAGTTGAGCCTGGTAACAATTCTTTTCACATCATTTTATGTTGTAAAAATATCGGTTTTAAACTATTTTGAATAGTTAATTAAACTCATTCTTTGCTCCTCCAAGAAAATGCGCATGTTTTGTGTATGTACATATCATACGAGCGTATACGTGTGCACTTCAGTAGTCTCGCACCCCCAATCACTGTAGCCCCACGCACACCCACGGCCTCCCTACGTTCTATTGGTTGGGGGTGATGGAGGCAAGCTTGCGGGTAGAGAAAACTATGGTTGAACTAATACAAGGTTGACCCACAGCGATGACGAGTTTCGCCGTTCTGCGCATCTCTAGAGTGACGTCATTGTGAGCACAAAATGTGAATAGTGTGGATCAACATATTGTTTTTATGTCATCTTTGAAAGCATTTAAAAAATTTACCTCATCAAAATTGCCCAAGAAAATTTGTATACTGCAAGCAACTAGTCTTAGTTTAAGCCAAACCGGTGTTACAAATCCGTTTGACGTCACGAGGTGACGTCACAATAGTCAAGGTGACGTCACAATAGCCGAGGTGACGTCACAGTTGGAATAACAAATGACATCTGCAAGGCGCAGCTGCACGTGGGAAAACCTTGTATATTAGTTCAATCATGAAAAAATTTACCTCATCAAAATGGCCCCAACAAATTATTTACTGCAACTAGTCTTATTTTAAGCAGAACAGGTGCTACAAATCAATTTTTATCACACGGTGACGTCACAACGACCAAGGTGACATCACGGATGGAATAACAAACGACATCCGCAAGGCGCAGCTGCACGTGGGTCAACCTTGTATTAGTTCAACCATGGAGGAAACACTCAGCCATTCATAGCCTCTCAAGTCATAACAGTTCGAAATTTATGTTGAAATGCATGCAAGAATCGCAACAAGGTGGTATCAATTAATTTATCATCGTTAATGCATGGTAAAAATATAAATGTTGAACGATTTTACACAGTTAATTAAAGAATTTCCTTGCAAGAGCAAGCGAGCGTGAAAGTGTGTGTGTGTGCATATTGTATGAGGTGGGTAGTTTAAAAGTCCCCAACCGCTGCCTCCCTATAAATTACCCACTGCTGAATTCCTTCAATTCCAACCCTCCTTGCCGCATGTGGAAGAGAGTGAAGGGAGGCCAAGCTTGAAAGCTAGAGGAAAACATTGAGTGACTTGGTAGTCTATATTTTCCTTGACTGCATTCACTTTCTCAGATTGAAGTGAATAGCGCACTTATTAGTGCAGGGGTGAGATAATTAAGCTTAGTTTGGTGGCCACAGGTTTATTAGCGCTTCAGCTATTTAGCTATCTTTCACCGAAAGTCAAGATGAACATAACCAAAGAGGTGGAAAGTCTCGGTTATCGAAAGATTCTCAAATCATAAATTGTTCATCACCCACTAGGGGCAGAAGGTCTCAGATGTCCAGCCAGCTGGAGCTGGCTCAAAGGAAGCAGCGTTAGCATCTCAAAGAGACGAAGTGACAAGGAGGGACAGGTGAAAAGCACCAGAAACTAAGACACTCGAACAAGAGGTCGCTTACACGGGACGTCGGCCGCCCGCACGAGAGAGACAGAGAAGGGAAATGAACCATGGCTGACAGTAACTGAGACCTCCTTTGCTGCACCTCTCGGACACTATTTCGGCCAGACTTGCGGCCGGTCACCAAGATTCAATGAACATGAAATGTCTCTCAAACCAATGAACGCAAGTCGACGAAACTTAGCTCACGTGTTTAATAGGATCTAACGGTGATTTTTAGGTCACCACAATTTTTTCGATTCCTTTGTGAACCTCTGCCTAAAAATTGTGGTGCAGATCTATATGACATATGACTGACATGACAGGTATTGAAACATTTTGATAAAAATTTCCCTAAAACAGCCATATGCTGAGGATGCATCATATGTTCATACAATCATTATTAACTTCCAACTTTGTTGGCGACTTTTCATGAAATTACCTCCAACTGAAATAAAAAAAAATAAAATTATCAACGTTGTATGTAGAGAGATCAATGTTTACAAAACATTTCTGAGATCTAGTGGATACGTCTCTAATATGAAAATTCATGCTTCACTTCCCTGTTTCATATCAATAATTTCCTGTTCTGGTTACAAGTTTTCTCCATTAAAAGTTATTCTAGCTGGAGTATGAATATGTATTATAGGCAATCCTAGTTGAATATATGTAGAAAATTGTTATATCAGTAATAAATTTGAATTTTGAAATTTTTACTGATGCCGTTTTAAACTTTACTTCCACTTATTCCCACTGCGATGTCTGATGAAAGTGCTTTTTTTAGTAGCAAAACACTCGTGTTTTATAGACTACAAACAACAAGTTCACTTATAAGCAACTAGTTTCTTATTGTGTACATTTATCAAATGGCAATAATTGTCATTTACATTACAGCGAACTTAAATACATCAATGAATTACTGAAAACAGTATAAATGAATGAAAATTTCACTTTTTATTTCCAAATATTTTTTCGAAGACGAACTATGTCTTTATCACATGGAAAAGTAATCAACTGGACTATATACAAGTACCCCAGTTTCTGTTTGCAAACGTAGTCTAGAAAAGTTAGCTGGTTGGAAAACTTAAATCTGTAAAAACAGACTTCTTCGTTATTAATGACCACATGACTGTAATAAGGCCCTGGCAACTCCTTAAAGACTAATCTTGCGTTAGCTGACAAGCTTGTGCGTGCATAACCGTTTCAGTCGGCCATTTCTCAGTGCTTTTTGTAACTTTCACTAATAAATTAAAGTTGTGTAATTGGTGCTCGGAAAATAGAGTTAAGCGCTGTCAAGCTTGTACGATGTCGTCGTAAGCTTGTATGATGTACTGTACGATGGTCGCCGTTATTACCTCTTGCCATATGTTCGATGTCTAGCTTTGATGGTCGCCTTCGTTACCCTTGTCATATGCTCGATGAACAGCATTGATGGTCGCCGTTATTACTTTTGTCATTTGTTCGATGTCCAGCATTGATGGTCGCCGTAATTGCTTCTTGTCATTTGTTTGATGTCTTGCATTGGTGTTCGCCGTTATTACCTCTTGTCATTTGTTCGATGTCCTGTAATGGTGTTCGCCGTTACTACCTCTTTACGTATGTTCGGTGTACACAGAAATGATGGACGCGGAAGGGAATGAAGTCGAGCGCCTTAGACGATGTTTCCGCCACCACCGTCACTGGATTCCAACTGTCATATAAAAAATATATCAGGACCCACTGCAGTGAGAGACAGAGAGCGCATTTTCTCTGTCACGTGAAGTCACGGACGGACGGACGGACATGACGAGCACAATAGCGTTTTTTTCCATAAATGAGAAAATGTGCTAAAAATAATCGATTGTGAGATACTAAAACAAATCCTAACATGGATTTTGATGCTTATTTAAAGTATGCCACGAATCTGTACTTTCAACACAAATTTATTCATTTATTTCTAAAAGAATCTCGTACATCTATTTGTTAAAAAAATATAACTTAATAAAAAATATAATATAAGAGTTGTCAAAATCAATGATGAGTGGAATTCTGATGAAAATTGCACACGACATGTACAAGAAAGTAAAATGTAAACTCACCTGTATGGCGTAGGAGCGCACTACGACGATGAGGTACGACGCAATAGCCGCCCCGATGGGAACTTCAATGAGAGGGAGCCAAGGCTCGCCTAGCACAAGCATCGTCACCACTCCGATTATTGCAAGGATGACCAATACGATCTCCACGTAAACCCAAATCTTGATAAGCGTCACTCGTTCCTGCAATTCAAAAGAATGAGATACGTTTTAAGTGTGGGACTTTGTTTTATCACGTTAACCCCATAGGTAACCGTCCCGTTAACCGTCGCGTTAACCCCTTTGTGTACAGATTGTAACTCTTATGAGGTCATGAGGTACGAATATCACTATATAATGTTTCACCGCCAGGGAAAAAAAGTTTAAACATGGGCTTCGTAATTCAAGTCCAACGACGTGTTTTGTCCTCTGAATTCTAGTCGTTTAGAATATTGAAATGTTATTTATGTTAGTGGAATCCTAAGACAAATTTTTCTTCTCGCACCTATCATTGGACGTCCTATAACATGATTTTTTTTGTTGTTGCATAATTTAAATTTGATTCACATTTGAAAACGTCATTTATATATTGATGTGAAATCAGAGTTTGAACAAAACTTTTTCAAGTTGATTGTATTTTAAGTTGCAAATTTTATTAGTTACAAGAGAGGGATTCTCAAACGTCGGGTATTTATTATCCATCTCGAAAACACTTGTTGAGCTGAAAATAGTTTTATAACATTATTGTACTTGCCTTTGTAACACCAATTATGAGTGTGATGGAGAGCAGGATGGCTATAATGTTGCCTATGATGCTGAACCACTTCATTTCGTCCTCTGTTGAATAATCAAATATTTATATTACAACTGGCCCAGTGGTTAAAGTTCAGAGTACCAAGATTGGCGCAGAGAGGCGCGGGTTCGATCCCAGTTCTGTGCACCAGTTTCTGGTCAGAATCGGCAAGGAGGCCGGGCGGTTATGCACAGCAGAATTGTGACAGTGAGTTGCGAGTTCGAGACCGCAAAATGCCGTGAGTGTTCTGCGATGTTAAGAATCGGCGACGGCCTACGGCCTATTATTATCATTATTATTATTATTATTATTATATTTTTATTGTAATAGTTTTTATTTTTTGTGCGTGTTTCAAAGAATTTAAACACAAGAGGATTCCAGTGAGTATTCACAATACCTATCGTGTGAGGATTCTGCTGGGAGGTAAAATTTCATTATTTTAGATCAAAGGTGGTATATCTTTTTGGTGGTGTAATCATAAAGTATTACAAGATGGGGGATGGATTGGAAACTCGAATTTTTAGTTTTAATTCAATAAATTTCAATTTGTGAGATAATCGAGAATCCTTCACATTTTAAACGAAAGTTAAATTGGATGAAAAATGTGGGTGTCAACGAGGCTTTCTGTAGTCAGCCTTACGGGATTTTCAAATCTCCTGGAAAATAAATCTCTGGAAATGCTGGCTCATGCTGATTGTTTATTATATTTTACAGTTATTCAACGCGTTGAACTGTTTTGGCTTCTAATAAATGCTTGATTAGTAAGTAAATAATTTGAAAGGTTTTCTTATGAGAAGATATTGATCCTCAGTCTGTGTTTAAAAAAATTTATTTTAAAGTTTCAAGCACAGTTTTTTTTACAAAAGCATGCATTTCGTTCATGTGTTGTATTTAAAGTTGCAATTTGAAATTATCTTACTTCTGTACATAGATATGCTCTTTGTAAAATTCGATTACCGAAAATCAAACCAGTCGGTGCGTGAGAATTGATTGATCCATCGGGGTGCATGACGTATGGAGTGCGTGATTCGGATATAGATAATTAAATAATTATTTCATTTACTCACTTGTAACGACCAAGCCATAGATGCCGAACGGTAGGTAAAGGAGTCTTGCCACCTGCGCACACAAACCGTCGAGATTTATTAAGATGCACATAAAGTCCCGAAGAGAATATTTCTTGCAGTGTTAGGCCTTGGATGTAAAGAGTTATTCTAAATAATTGACCTAATTTAGACAATTAGTATTCATTCAAGTATTAATTAAAAATGAATAATTTATACACCAACGGGAAGAGAAAGATTCAAAGTTTTTACATATTTATAAATGTAAAATATGTCCCCCTTGTGCTGCACGGCAAACATCTAAACGATCGCCAAACTCGTCCCACACACGAGAGAGCATATCTTCTGTTACTGAGTGCACCGTAGCAGTGATACGGTTCTTCAGATCAAAAAATTGGGGTGCGTCATTTAGAACAATAATTCATTGTAAGACAATTGACGCGAATGTTAACAGTAGATATCAGAAATTAGTCACGTATTTGGTAACCTTTAATCTAAAATAAGCTGAATCAAATTAAGGCGTCTTGTCTTTTGAGTATTTAGGTCGTATAAAAACGAAGGTCTAGTCGAGGAAAATCTATGCAAACTAATTTTGTTTTTATGAGTGAAATCGGATTTTTTTTCTTGCGGAAATATCGAACGTGCCAATAATTTTATTGCCCAACTTAGGAAATAAATTTGTTGAACTGTAAAACGGGAGTTAGAAAATTCAATTGCAGGGAATTGCCTCTACTTACTAAGTCGAAGATGCCAGTTCCCAAGGCTCCCGAGCGGAGCGAACAACCGCAGCAGCACTGCGAGACCAAGCACTTCTCTGCCATCTGCGAAAAATAATAAGCGTTTGTGCCATAATAATTCAATGTAAATTGAACCTGATGCTGTGTATGAGTCATCGTTGGCAGACCGCATGCGGTAACGATTTTGGTTCAAGAGGAACCTCCAAGGAACGCCACGATCATTCATTTCTAATTTACTATTCGACGAAACCTTTCTTTTAAACTTCTATGTTATTATCACAGGCACTAATAAGGTTTTGTTCACCGAAATAGAATGCGATGCTAGCGTTGTTGAGGTTAATCCATGGCGGCGCATCAGTGATGCCGAGTTGTCAGGCTTTATTATATCCAAATTTGCCGACTTAGATCTTTTTCCGGCCAAATTTGCCGGCTTTTACGGTTTTTTCAATTGATTTGCCGGAATATCATTAGACTTAGGTCGGGTTGTTAGGAATCGGCTACAGGCCAACATGGCCTGGATCAAATCTGATCCCGCTGTATAATTTTTGTTATAATCGAATTCTGATCGCTACAACAGACTCTTCTTGCACAAGAGCTTCGTAACATGACAATATGTCATGTTACGAGGAGATTGTTGTACCATTTAATCCTTCCTGGACTCTGACAGACCTAATCGAAAATCACTTCATTAAAACGACACCCTGAGCTCAAAGTGCATTGATAAATGAGATTTTGCCCAGTAATATCTTCATAATCACGTCGATTTTGTTCGGTTTTGTTCTAGAAAGTTTTGATTTTCAATCTTATTCTCTATGAATCGACAAAAAATGACAGCAAGAACTCGCATTGCGTGCTGTAAACATCATTATCTGAAATGCCGTTCAATTTGATACATCCATCTCGACTAATCGGTAGTTATTCTACTCGTGCAACACTCTAATGTGTAAAGTACACATGAAAAGATCTCGCTAACAGCATAAAAGTTATTTGCTAATTTTAAATGATCAGCGAAATGAAGCTCTCAGTGCGCTCCGTATTACACCTGTCTCTTATACACATCTAGATGTGTATAAGAGACAGGCTCTAATGTGTAAAGTACACATTAAAAGATCTCGCTAACATAAAATTTATTTACTAATTCATTTAAATGATCAGCGAAATGAAGCACTCAGTGCGCTCCGTATTACACTTTGGAGTAACTCTTTGCGTTTAAATTTGCAATGAGAATGTAATATAGTATTTACGGGACCACCCGAAATCGCTTTCGGGGTTTGGCACGGAAACTACACTCGGGGATTCTACTGCACATGGTAAAAACCCGATTTGTTATGACGTCTTAACATTTTTGTACGCTATGACCTGATGACTCCCATGCACTAGTGCGGACTAACTGAGTACTTAACTATTAACGTAACTCATGTCCGTCTTTAGGATGATCGTCCTTTAACTGCTACTACGACGTGCACTTCACAGAAAGTCTACATAATTGCCTTGCAATTAAAGAAGGAATGAGTTAAAATTAATTAGTTTTTAACTAATTAAAACAAGGAAACAGACGTTACTACCGTAAGTTATCGGGTAGCAGAGCGTACCGTGTGCTCGCTCAAGCCTAGTGCAGTTACCTTTGTAACTCTGCTAAATTAGTATATTTATTGAGAGATCAAATTCAAGTTTAAAAAAATATAACTCAGTACTCACTGCAGTGAGTACTGAGTTATTTTTTTCTTATCCTCCTCTCCCGTTCTCAAGCGTTTATAGGGGCTGCTAATTTTAAATTACCCAGACTTTTAAATTACAGTCTTCGTTGTTAGTTTAGGCTATTTACGAAGGCTATATATTTAGTTTAGGCTATATTTTATACTTCGTTAGGCTATATATATAGTTTTATATAGCTCGATCGAGTAGTAGTTAGCTCCAGTGAGAATGCTTTATATTTGATCAGATATCAGTGATGAAATTAGGCAATATTCGGACAGGACATGTTTGTACCTGTATCGTCAATAATATAATAATATGGAAATATAATTAAGCTGAGTGCACTTCAGTAGTCTCGCACCCCCAATCACTGTAGCCCCACGCACACCCACGGCCTCCCTACGTTCTATTGGTTGGGGGTGATGGAGGCAAGCTTGCGGGTAGAGAAAACTATGGTTGAACTAATACAAGGTTGACCCACAGCGATGACGAGTTTCGCCGTTCTGCGCATCTCTAGAGTGACGTCATTGTGAGCACAAAATGTGAATAGTGTGGATCAACATATTGTTTTTATGTCATCTTTGAAAGCATTTAAAAAATTTACCTCATCAAAATTGCCCAAGAAAATTTGTATACTGCAAGCAACTAGTCTTAGTTTAAGCCAAACCGGTGTTACAAATCCGTTTGACGTCACGAGGTGACGTCACAATAGTCAAGGTGACGTCACAATAGCCGAGGTGACGTCACAGTTGGAATAACAAATGACATCTGCAAGGCGCAGCTGCACGTGGGAAAACCTTGTATATTAGTTCAATCATGAAAAAATTTACCTCATCAAAATGGCCCCAACAAATTATTTACTGCAACTAGTCTTATTTTAAGCAGAACAGGTGCTACAAATCAATTTTTATCACACGGTGACGTCACAACGACCAAGGTGACATCACGGATGGAATAACAAACGACATCCGCAAGGCGCAGCTGCACGTGGGTCAACCTTGTATTAGTTCAACCATGGAGGAAACACTCAGCCATTCATAGCCTCTCGAGTCAACAGTTCGAAATTCATGTTGAAATGCATGCAAGAATCGCAACAAGGTGGTATCAATTAATTTATCATCATTAATATATAGTAAAAATATAAATGTTGAACGATTTTTCACAGTTAATTAAGAATTTCCTTGCAAGGGCAAGCGAGCGCGAGTGTGTGTGTGTATGCATATTATAGGAGAGGGGCAGTTTTAAGAAAACATTATGTGAGTTGGTGGTCTATATTTTCCTTGACTGCATTCACTTTCTCAGATTGAAGTAAATAGCGCACTTATTAGTATAGGGATGAGATAATTTAGTTTAGTCTAGTGGCCACAGGTTTACTAGCGCTTCAGCTATTTAGCTATCTCGCACCTTAAGTCAATATGAACATCACCAAAGAGGTGGTGATGTTATCGAAAAATCTCTTATCAAAAGATTCCCAAATCAAAAATTGTTCATCACCTACAAGGGGTGGAAGGTCTCATTTGCCCAGCCCGCTGAAGCTGGCGCGAAGAAAGCAGCGTTAGCATCTCAAAGAGACGAAGTGACAAGGAGGGACAGGTGAAAAGCACCAGAAACTAAGACACTCGAACAAAAGGTCGCTTACACGGGACGTCGGCCGCCCGCACGAGAGAGACAGAGAAGGGAAATGTAAGGAATCCTAGCTACATAATAACTTAATGTAAGGAATCCTACCTACATAATAACTTAATGTACGGAACCCTACCTACATAATAACTTAATGTAAGGAATCCTACCTACATAATAACTTAACCACACAACTGAGACCCACAGTCAGACACCGCGAGCTCAGCGGTGGGGCGCTCAGCTAGGGACAATCCCCCTAGGAGCGCAAAATCCCAAAGGACTTCTGACGAGTACTGACACGCGTCAGAAGTCCCCCCTGAGGGAGGGATGAGACAATATTTGCACTGGATGTGTTGTGTGTTTTGTTAACATTTTTACATGATATGATTGTATGGACGAGATATATCGTACCTAGGAGAGGGTATGAGGGCACCCTCGCCCTCACGTCGGCTGTAATGGTGAGGGTAACAACCCTAAATGTTTTTCACAATTGTGGGGGTTAATTAGGGTAGGAGATCAGAGTAAGCAATTGGAGGGGTGAGGAGGCGTTCGATTCCTGTAGCCTTGCGTTTCTTGACCACTTCCCTTGCCAGACTGTTTATTAATCTGAACAGTGAGGAAGAGCCTCCTTATACCCTCAAAAAAAAAAGAGTATCAATGAACAGATTAAATCATTGTCGTGATAAATAGATAACAAATATATCAGGAAAAACAATACGACTGCATTGTCAAATACTAGCGTCTTCTAAGTCAGCCTTGTACAACTTCATTCATGAACCTGAATAACAAGGCACTTAATTGTATGTCAGGATTTTTCCAGTCGCACAAAATATGAAAAGCGCAGAATCAGACTGTCTTCGAATTTTTTACTGTGCTCTAGGGCGTTGGATAATAGATTTGTTAATAAACCATGCACCTCTGTTCCGTATATGTTTCGCGCACGCGATACATGGCCCAATTATTTTAGCAATTTATTCATTCACCAATTCCTCTCTACATTCACCAATTCCTCCCTACATTCACCAATTCCTCTCTACATTCACCAATTCCTCCCTACATTCACCATTTCCTTCCCCTCCCTCAATCATCCTCTCCACTGTTATACGCTGCTACAGTGACGGAAATGGCTGTACTACCACTTAGCTTTTTCTAAATATTTTTTCTGCGTATAAAACTACTGGATTATAATTATACAAGGCTAAACTATGTTCAAAAACTGTTTCAACGCCAAACGAAAAAAAAAATAACTTGAGAAGAAATGATGAAATTAGATAAACCTATGGTAGAAATGGTTATAAGACCAAGATATGTTTTTCCGTTTGTGGAACACATACACTCGTTTTTATAGGCAATCTTACCTCCTTTTGCCCTAATTACCTCAATGTATCATCTTCCCATGCTATTTACCAAATCATCCAAAGTCTTTTGAGGAATTTTATCCCAGGAACGAAGGATAGCCGTGCTCAGGTCACTCACAGATTGGAACCGGCGCTCATTTTGGTAAACATCCCTCGCCATGATGCTCCATAGGTTTTCAATGGCGTTGAGGTCAGGGCTAAGCGCTGGCCACGGCAAAAGAGTAATATTCTGCTTTTGGAACCACTTGTTAGCTGACTTCGAAGTGTGAATCGAAGCATTGTCTTGCTGGAAAACATATGATCCCTCGTTTCTCATCGGCAAAAGGGAGAAGATGGCGAAATAGCGTGTGCTTTTATGCCTTGGAATCTTGTCTCCCTTGTAAAATAGCTATATAGAGTTAATTTTTCCCTTATGGCTAAAATCCCCCCAAACCATGACCGAACCAACACCAGATTGCCGCTTTGAAAAGAATTGAGGCTCACGGTCCAGACGGTGCCAATAGCATTGTCATCTATCTAGACCATAAAGATTGAACTTTTTTTCATCACTGAAGATAATGCCTCACCGATAAGCATATTTTTTTCAGCAAGTTTTAGTAGGTTGATAATAAGTTTTTACTTGAGCATAGGATTGCAGCTTGGAAAAGAATTCCGGCTCACGGTTCAGATGGTGCAAATAGCATTTCCATCCATCTAGACCATAAAGATTGAACTTTTTTTCATCACTGAAGATAATGCCTCACCGATAAGCATATTTTTTCAGCAAGTTTTAGTAGTGTGTGAGCAGAGGGGCATTTTTCCGCTTCATGTACTTGAATTTATTCGAGGCATGCAATATCTGACGGATGAGTCGTGCTGTCACATCAACTCTGGTGGCCAATATTATAGAAGTAGAGGTAGCGCCAGCTTTAGAAACCTTTGGAAACAGTCGCCTAAGATTCCTGTCGATCAATTTTGGGGTTGGTCCAGGGTGCATTTATGATCCGTAGCCATCCGGATTAGCAAAAAGTAATTGTACAACGGTTTTTGAGCGTTTTATTTCCTTTGCGATGTCCTGTTGGATTCTACCGCATTTCGCAAAGGCCAAAATCTGCGCCTTCTCTGCCTCTGTGAGTCCTGTCCCTTTTGACATATTTTTCCTTAAAAAAATATAAATGAGGACACTGAAATACACCAAGAGTACACCAGAAGTACCCTAAATGGCGAAAATCAGGATATTCTTTATGTTGCTGTACTTTTTAACGTGAAAATATTACAAACATACTAAAATGAAGAAAAGCCCATCTTGGTCTTATAACCATTTCCACCTAGGTTTTTCTAAATTTCATCGTTTCTTCTTATATATTTTGAGAAAATTATTTTTTTCGTATAGCGTTTGAAACGTTTTTATACGTAGTTTAGCCTAGTATAATTAGAATCCAGTATTTTTCTATGCAAGAAAAGATATTTAGAAAAATGTGAGTGGTCGTATAGCCATTTCCGTCACTGAAGACGTGAGGGCGCGCTGCTGTCTCTTGCAGTCTCGAGTTGACACGCAGTTCGGCCTATAGCTCTGTTAGGACTTCGGGAGCAGACGTAGCATTGACTCGCCCTTCTGCCTGGTCAAATTAGGTCGTAATGACCCACACAGGAGCATAAAAAAAGTGCGCCGCTTTTTGGACAAATTCATTTCTCTATATTTAAACTTTTATGTGCTGTATCAATAGTATCAATATATGTTTTCTTTGAGCGCTCCTGTACTGCAGATTGAACAGAAATTTCGCAAAATAATGCATTTTTGTCAAATTAATCTAATGAAAATGTTTTTACAATCATTCAGCATGTATTAATCTGTTGAGTACAAAATAATGATGGTCGCCGTTATTACCTCTTCTCATATGTTCGAGGTCCAGCACTGATGGTCGCCGTTACTACCTCTTCTCATATGTTCGAAGTCCAGCACTGATGGTCGCCGTTACTACCTCTTTACGTATGTTCGATGTACACAGAAATGATGGACGCGGAAGGGAATGAAGTCGAGCGCCTTAATTAGACGATGTTTCCACCACCACCGCCACTGGATTCCAACTGTCATATAAAAAATCTATCAGGACTCACTGCAGAGAGTGACAGAGAGCGCATTTTCTCTGTCACGTGAAGTCACGGACGGACGGACGGACATGACGAGCACAATAGCGTTTTTTTCCAAAAGTGAGAAAATGCGCTAAAAATAATCGATTGTGAGATACTAAAACAAACCCTAACTTGGATTTTGATGCTTATTGAAAGTATGCCACTAACCTGTACTTTCAATAGTCTCATTTATTCATTTCGTTCTGCAAGTATCTCGTGCATCCATTTGTTAAAAAATTTAACTCAGTACTCACAGCAGTGAGTGACAGAGAGCGCATTTTCTCGTTGACGAAAACTTGAGGTCACGGACGGACGAACAGACAGACAGACTGACATGGCGAGCACAATAGTGCATTTTTTCCATAAATGAGAAAATGCGCTAAAAAGAGTTGTGAAAATCAATGATGATTGAAAGCTTGATGGAAATTGCACGACATGTACAAGAAAGTAGACAGTAAAATGTAAACTCACCTGTACGGCGTAGGAGCGCACCACGACGATGAGGTACGACACAATAGCCGTCCCAATGAGCCCACCAACGAAGAAGGCCCAAGTCGTGTCGCCGAGCACTAACTCCGNGGCTAATGCACTGTCCCAATGGGGGGTGCGGGAGGTAGACCCCCACATAACCCCACATCTGTCTCTTATACACATCTAGATGTGTATAAGAGACAGATTTGAATCCATCGATGTGTTCTGTCCTCAGAATTTTTGTTCTTTAAAATATTGAAATTATATTCGTGGTAGTGGAACCTGTAAGAAATATTTCTTCGTATACCTGCCATTGGACAAACTATTACGTAATTTATTGGTAGATAAAGGATTACAGTTTACTTCACATTTAAAAACTTTATTTATATTCTGATGTTCAATCAGATTTTGAACTAATTTTTTTTTTGGAATTGACCACTTTAAGTTGGAAACCATAGTTTGATTACAAAAAGGGGATTTTCAAGCGTCGGGTATTATCCATCTCGAAAACACCTGTTAAGCTGAAAATAGTTTTATAACGTTATTGTACTTGCCTTTATAACACCAATTATGAGTGTGATGGCGAGCAGGATGTCAGTGACGTAAGCTATGATGTCGTACCAAATCATTTTATCCTCTGCTGAGTAATCAAAAACCTTAAATTACAGTGCAATCACGGCTTATATTCTATTAATAAAATCATTTTATTATTGTAATAGTTTTTATATCTTGTTTGCGTCTGAGAGAATTTATACACGAATGGATTCGGGCGAGTATTCACAATACCTATCGTGTCGGCATTTTACTGTGATCTAAAAATTTTTTTTTTTTTCTGAGCAAAGGTGGTATGTTTTTTGGGGGTAGAATCATAAGCCATTACAGGATGGGGCTAGGTTGAAAAGTCGAACTTTTACTTTAATTTAGTTCATTTCAATTTTGTGACAAAAATCAAGAATCCTCCAGACTTTTAAACGAAAGTTAAATGAATGTATAATGTGAGTGTGAACTAGGTTTACTCTTTCTCAAATCTCCTAGAAAATCAATCTCTAGAACTGCTGGCTCATGCTGATTGTGCATTATATTCCACAATTATTCAACGCGTTGAACTGTATTGGCTTCTAATAAGTGCTTGCTTAATAAGTAAATATTTTGAAGGGGTTTCTTCCGAGTAGATATTGATCCTCTCGGTGTTTTGGAAGTTTTACAAGTTCCAAGCACTGTTTTCAATTTTAAAAACATTACACACAACATGTGTTGTGAAAAACATTAAAACATTAAACACAACATGTGTTGTGTATAATGTTTCAATTTTGAAATTCTCCCAATTTTGCGCGTACATTTGCTGTTTGGAAAATTTGATTAAGAGAAAATCGAACCAATCGATGCGTGAGAATTGATTGGTCATTCGGGCATGAGAGACCAATGTGGTGCGGGATTCAGATATAGATAAATAATTATTTCATTTACTCACTTGTAACGGCCAAGCCATAGATGCCGAACAGTAGTAAAAGAAGGCTTGCCACCTGCGCACACAAACCATTGAGATATGTTAAGATGGCACATGCTGTCCAGAACGGAAAATTTCTTGCAGTTTTACTCCTTGAATATACAGGGTTATTCTAAATGATGGACCCAATTTAATAAATTCGTATTTATTTAGGTATAAATTTATAATGAATAATTTATACACCAATGGAAATAAAAAGATTCATAGTTTTTTTTATAAATGATCAATATGTCCCTCTTGTGCTGCGCGGCAAACATCTAAACGGTAGCCAAACTCGTCCCACGCACGAGAAACCATACCCTATCGAAACTTTTATTCCTGTCAGCACTCAGCCGCTGGCACAAGGACGCCCCAAATTCTTGTTACGGTGTAAATTAGAAGCTCTATGTCCGCTTTAGGTTCCGGTTGCCGGAGCGAAATAAGCGCCGAAATGGAATCTTGTGAAATACCCGTCGAGCTTGGGGCGATCGTGGGGCGCGCGTATTTGGTACCTGATACGTTCGGGACAGACACGGCCGAATATGAAAAATGCGTTAAAAAATGCCCCCTCCCTTCCNGGTCGGGCTGTACGTTTACCATTAAATTTCCAAATTCGTGTGTTGTGTGCTTTTCGCTTTAATCATAAATCTGCCCGACACACGTTTTTTGGGGCGAGCCATAATTTATTTTCTACTTTTTAGTCCACAAGTAAAACATGTTTTTAAAAAAGTATTTTTAAGTATTTTATTTAGCCTCTTTGTGAGCTGATTATGCCCTATTCCCTTGCCACCACATGGCAACCCTGAGCTCAACCAACTTAATCGTGCGCAAGGCGGAGCACCAAAGAGGCAAAACCTGCCGCACCAGAATCTTGAATGAAGCTTTATGCAGACAAGGTCACATTCGCGAGGGATATGAGAACGCAGCCGTGCACCAATAAGCCCTGAATCGAACGCCTTGGATCTCTCTGGACATCCACCAATCAGCCGTGAATGGAACCTTCAGCTATCCGTAGCCGACCCTTGACATCATTCTGCTTTGAATATTTTGAGCTCTACACCCCCCAGACGCGAGGCCGAATAGTCTAGAGTCGAATGACCGTCCACCACTGAACGTTGCGTCGAAGCATCACTTCATACCCTGGCCACCGCTCGAACTAGAACTTGCGCGCAACAGCTTGCGACCACTCGGCTTTGTCCTCCTCCGGCCTTGCAAAAAACTTGCCGTGCACCACCAGACCGCGGATCGAATATGACTTTCGGACATCGTTAAATTACGTACTTTTACGTTCACCGCATCTGAGGTTAGGTTTCAGATAGCATAGCTCTGTTCCAAAATTTATCGTCCTTCGACGAGTGGTCGTTCGACCGAGGGCTGGTTCGACGCACGGCCTAGATAGGGACGACTTGGTGGCGGAAATCACATTCGCTGCAAGGCTCCGGCGCGTTACGTCCGAGTGGTGCAGAATTTTTTCGCGGGACGGCGGACGATGCTAGGCCATTCGATCGCCGGCTGTTTCTCCTGAGGGCTGATTGGTCTAATTTAATTGATTCGTTCTGTCTGGTGGCTTTCGGCTGCCTATATGATTGTCCAGAAGTGTTGAAGGCTACGTTCCGGAAGGCAGGAATCATGATGGTCCATTACATCGAGGGCAGTGGTGGTCTTCGGCAGGCGACCCAGAGATATAACATGAAAACTGCCTTCTTCCTTAGCACTAAGCTCCTACTCTTTCCGTAGCGTAAAATATATGGCGAATATTCTTAGCTTAGAAATATTCTTAGAATATTCTTTAGCCCTAGGGATGAGACAACTTTGTTGCCCTTTTCGACTTCGAATTTTTCCACTGTGAAGCGTTGCGCAGCTGACTTCTAAGCTAAGACTTGTAGATTATACAAAGATTATTAAGAGAAGCCCCGGAAAATTTTGTACATTACACATACCTACCGTAATACAAGGTCTTGTGTCCTGGCATTACTGCACACAAATGACATCATGACTCCCACTATAGCGCGGATCACAAATTTCAACATGAACAGAGCACGGAACTAAAAGTAAACTCGTGCCCGCCTTGGCACAAGTTTAGTTTAGACTAAAACTAAACTCCTACCCGCCTTTTGGTTGATCGTGCAGATGACGCACGTTTCCTTTGTGCATGCGAATCACTGAAGACCTGCATGATATCTTTGCGATGTAAAATGTTCATTAATTAGTTTTATAGTATTTTTAATTAAATTATATAGGACCAAAAAGCCTGTTTTATTGAATTAACTGGCTCCATTAATTGCTTGGATCCAGATAAGTTAACTGTTGATTTTAGCCAACCATTTTATCTCGCCTATTCTTTTATTTACATTTGTCTCATTCAAATCCTAATTGCGTATGCCAATGTTGTGAGCTTCTTTTACTACAATAAATAAATCTTTTACAACAATCACTTCATCATTTCAATCTCTGGACGTTAATACATATTTGCTTCAGAAGTGGTGTAAGACGGATTAAATATGGGCGCCAAGATTAGCCCCCACAGCTTCTCTCAGAATTAGGAGTTTTAATCCAATTTCACCTCCACCTTGTTGCATATAATATACGCACATTTCAGGAATTATTTGACACCATATGACGGTTATTCCTAATGCGACCAGGTGTAAAGAAAGTAAGGCTGTAGAAATCTTTCGTTGAAAATAGCTCGAAATAAAAATCGAATCGCATGTAACTCAAAGAGCAAATCCCAATTTAGATTTAAAATTACGGCGTCTTGCCTTCTGTAGTATTTAGGTCGTATAAGGACAGAGGTTTAGTTGAGGAAAATCTATGCTAACTGATGTTGTTTTCTTGATTGAAATTTCGGATAAACGTGCCAATTATTTCATTGCCCAATAATAAGCGTTTGTGCCATAATAATTCAATGTAAACATAACATGTTACATATTTCAATACATAAAATGTTGTTATATAATAATTCGCTATCAATAAAATAAAATACCTATATTTTAGTGAACATTATAAGCCTCTTTTACCATAATCACTTATCATTTCAATCCCTGGCCGTAAATATTGAAGTATTCTTCTGAAATGGAGTAAATCGAATTATATATGGGCAGCAAGACTAGCCCCCACAGTTTCTCTTAGAATTGAGGTGAGAGTTGTAATAAAATTCCACCTCCACCTAATAGCATATATAAGCGCGTTTCAGGAATTACTTGACACCATACTACAATATGGTCTAGTGTTGTGTCGGTATGGTGGCGATTCCTAATGCGACAAGTGGAAAGAACATAAGGCTATAAAAAAGTTCCGTTGTTAATAGCTCGTAATAAACATCGAATCGCATGTCACTCGAACAGCGAATCCCAATTTGGATTTAAGTTCATTCTTTCTTTCGACAATTTATTGTTCTAGATAAACGTATGATACGATTGATATCCGTCTACAGCTCACCTCGTATACGTTGTTTGCGTGCAGAAACAAATGGTAATATTGAAGTCGAACGTGTGCGCATTGCACCGCACGCCAAACTCCACCAACTTTTGAAACCTATTGATGTCGTAGTGGTGACCGGGTGAGGCAGCTCGTGGCTTGCCATGCTATTTTTATCCTTGTATCAACGCTCGTATATTAAACCACTCATTGATTAATTTCCTAACAGCTGGTTTCTAGCCGTTCGTTATTA